AGCGGATTCCGTCGTCTGGATCTGGAAGTTGGGGGAGGATTTTTGGGGGACGGTGGGGAGCGTGGCGGAGGCGGCCTGGACCACGCGCAGGGCCTGCTGCGGGATCTGCACCACCTGCGCCTCCTGCTTGGGCTGCACCACCTGTACCTGCTGCACCACAGCCGGCTGGCCGGAGCCCGGGCTCTGCACGATCAGCAGGTTGTTCCCCGCTTGGATGATGTTCTCCGCCGTGGTTTCTATCAACACCGTCTCCACTTGCTCGGCCACGGCCACGGCGGCGGGCTGGGCGGGCGACAGGGCTTTCTTTCGAGTCTTTTTGCTGGGTTTCGAGGGGCTCTCGGCGAGGATCTGAGCCTGCCCGCCCGGCTCAGCCGCGTTCACCAGGTTGTTCACGGGCAGCGTCAGCGTCACGTTGCTGCCGCCCGCTAGCTTGACCACGCCGCTCGTGCCCTGCACTGGTGAAGCTCCACCCTTTTGCGCCGGTGCCGGTTTGATGGGCACAGGCTTGTGAGAGGAAGAGGAAGGGGTGATGATGGCTTGGTTCGTGCCCGGAATAATCTGGATCTGGTTGGTGAGGTTGGGCTGGACTTGGATGGTCTGTCCCCCCGCGGCCTGGATCTGGGGCACCGCCTGGTACTGGATGTTGGAGGACGAGCGGGTCCCCTTGTTGATGACAGTTGGGTTCTGAATGGCAAAAACCAGCTGTCCCCCGGGGTAGGAGGTGCCGACCTGAGAGCCCTGGATCTGGAAGAGGTTCCCTTTCGACGACAGGATCCCAAAGCTGTTCTTCCCGGAGCCCAGAGGGAGCGGAGCAGGTTTGATGGGGACGAGTTTGCGAGGCGTTGGCTGAGGAGGGGCAGGAGGAGTCACGGCGGCTTCCACGGCGGGGGGACCGATTTTGCTACATGTCGCTGCGAGGAGGGCCAGAGGAGATGGCTGGGAGTCCTGGGGAGCCGGGAAGGAGACGGGTAAGTTAGAGACAGAGGCTTGTACCAGACACCTGGAGATCAGGTCAGCGAAGGGAAAGGTACACGCTATCGAAAGCAATCCTGTCCATGCCAATGAGACACCCCTTATTAAAGGAACTGCTTAATTACCCATACCACGTGTGCCTTTAGCTAACCCTCCTCACACTACTTCTAGCCATCAGGATGGTGAGTGCCTTTTAATCGTGTGCCTATGTTCTTACAACCTCTATAAAGCTGCAAATACCCGACGAGCCCTGCTGGTATTTACACCCATTACACACACCCTGGAGTGCCATAGGCAGCTTTAATTCCGAGACCACCTTGTGATATCAGCTGCTAACACGACCCAAGAGGTCCTTAAGGAAAACACACCACGGGGAGGAGAAATAACACTCCAGTAGAGTTGGCGTCGGGGCTGGGAACGAGTCCAGAGCGCGGCTCCCCAGCCTGTCCTGCGCCCAGCCCTCGCCCTGACGCGCCAACCCTGGCTACAGCGGAGGCAGGAGGGGTTCAACGATGCAGAGTTTGCTGTCCTGCACCCCAGAACTTTCCCTCCGCCCCAGTGGGGAGCTGGAATCTCAGCAGTGATCCCCGTACTCACCTGGGCAGTGGAGGCAGCCGGCTGCAGGTATTCACTGGGGCTGACGGCAGCAGTCGCAGCCATGCTGCCTCTTGATCTGCGAGGAGGAAGCAGAGAGATGGAAGAGTAAGACCAGCAGCAAGAGCCGAGGTGGCAGCTCCTCAAGGCGCCCAGCCAAAAGCCCTGATGCCCAAGGGCCTCTCCCGGTGTCCCCCTGCATCGCCCCACGATGTCACATCTCACCCACACGCCTTCAGCAGAGGGGGGAATTACAGAAATCTCACCACCTCAACGCCTTCTCCCTGCACTTTCCTTTGTTTGCCACCAACGGGAGATGCCAGTTGTGGTGAGCAACCGACCGCAGCCCTCACAGCCTTGACCTGCAGCCCCCCTGGGCTGACAGAGACCATCGCTGCCCTGCCGAGCCCCCGCTGCAAAGCAAAGGCAAACATGTCCAGCAAGCCGATGGCTTCCCGGCTCCCAGCCCGCTCCATCTCCCTGCTGCTTGTTTTTCTAACTTTGAGAATCAAACAGAACACAGTTCTAGTACGTAATCGTATTTCTGAAGGCTGGAAAAATATTGTTTCAATTATTTTGGTATGCTGTCAGTGCCGAGTGTTTGTAAGTTATGTAATTAAAAGGTCATTTCAGGGAATAAAAAAAAGCTGCTGGTGCTGGCTGGCAGCGGGACCCTGCGAGGCTGAGAAAAGCCATCGGTGAGCGGGGAGGAGAGAGCGGCAGCTGGCAGCACAGGGAGAGGAGGTGCCCACAGGAGCCAGTGCCACGGAGCCTATGGGAGTTAAATAAATGGGATCTGCGGGGCCGGGGAGAGGCGAGGGGTGAAGTTACAGCGGAGGAGCTGCGGCAGGGAGGGCTCAGGCCGAGCGGCCGCGGCTCCTGCGATGGCACGGCGGGAGCGTGGGACCAGGCAGGGCCACCCCGAGGGGCAGCGGGGAGGACGGGGACGATTCACTGCCCCCGCAGCTTTGCTGCCTTCCTCTCTCGACGCTCTCCTTGGGAGGCTGACAACTCCGGGACTCTGACAACTCCAGGACAACTCACCACCCCCGCGGCTTTGCTGCCTTCCTCTCTTGACGCTCTCCTCAGGACTCTGACACTTCTGCTGCCCCGAACGCCACAGACCGATAACACTGAGGCTCCCCTTGCCACCGGGGCAGCTACAGCAGTTTCTTTTTAAAGCTTTAAGATAGCAAAGCCAAGGAAAGAAACTCCTAAATCCTCACAATTTGCTAAATCTTTTGTTCTGGACTAGCAAGATATTTCACCCTCAACATTTCCTTTGGCAAATTCCCCAGTCACCCCCATCCAGCAGTTGCTGTATGGCTCAATAGCTTGATAATATTTGCCTGGATAAGGTGCCAGGGAGAACTTGTCTGAGCTTGAATGCTCTTTACTACTGCTGCTGACAACGTCCTGACTTCAGATGGGGAATTACAGCTGTCGGAGGAATAGGGATGCTAGGGATTTACTCGGGTCATCTCCGAGACGCAGCCCTGGTGCAGGCAAGCCGACGGGAAGCCAGCGCTGTGGCATTTCTAGAGATGCTTGGATGGCAGGAGCAACGGGAAGCGTTGGCAGAGGATGCATAGCACAATGAAGATATGAAGTCCCAGATGGCTTATAACACATCGTACCAGCCAAAAATTAACTGTTGTGTAAGCACAGCGAGTAGCTTTTTGCTGCTTACAGAGATCGGGCAAGAATCGTGTCCCAGGACTGCGACAGAGCGCTGGTCTCGGGCGAAGTGAAGATCAGGCAACCGCAGAGTTGCTGTTTAACAACCTCGTACTCCTGCCCAGGGAGCTGCGGGAGATCCAGGGTAGGACGAGGGACTACAAGGGTGGGGAAAACTAGGTGTGGGGTTTGGTTCAAAGGGAACAAATGCCGTGTTCCGCAGCGCAGCACGACAAAGGCTGGGCAGCATCGCTTGCAACAGAGGCAAGAGACATCAGCACAGGCTGGCCGAGGGTGACAGGGCCAGCACTCAACCTCAGAAAGGGCAAACTTGACCTTGCTTGAAGCAGCATCCGCTGCCAGGACGTGGCTGCAGGAGCCTTGGGGCAAAAGGCACATCTGCATTGGGAAAATAAGGGGGTTCTTTTGTTTTGAAATTGTCAGCTAGCAGGGATGGCGCAGAAGGCGGATGCACTGGCTGCCCAATGCAAGGGCCGGTCGTCACATCTTAATACAGCTTAAGGCCGGGAGAAAAGGCCTCCAGGTAACTGAGATGCAGCCAATGCTTGTGTAAAACCAGAGGTGAAGGCTCTCGGCTCGCCCTGCAACCCTCGGCCGTCCCGCGCGGCACGGACCGAGACAGACATCTCCTCCCTGGGAACGCGAAGCCTTTCGCCAAACAAAAACCCACTGAGAAACCAAGCGATTGGGCCCCGGGCCAAGTCACCAAGGAGCCCGCTTCCCAAAGGCAGGCAGCTCGCCCCCTCGCCGGCACAGGCTCCACGGCTCCTCCCGAGGCTCCGCGGAGGCTCTTTCACAGCCCTGCTGCGACCGAGAGCATAAATCCCCGGGAAGAGTCAGGTCAGAGTCCCAGGCGCCTGGAATGGCATCGCATGGAAATTACTCGCCCCGTTCCTTAGCAAAGGGCATCCTTTCCCTTGAAGCCACTTGCTGTGGCAGCCTCCCAGAGACGAAAGCATCAGATGCTCGCACCCAGCGAGCTGGCCTGCGATAAAAGGACGCTTTCTTCCCAGCAAGCCGGGAGCTTGTATGGCTGCCCGAGTTCAATGGCTGCACCCTCCCTTTCAGCAGAATTAGGGCATTGCTGAGGATTAACAGCCCTGACTACAAATAAGAGCAATGCTGAGCTGGCCAGAAAGAGAGACACATACCAAGAGAGATCCCATTAGCCTGAACAAATAAATAAGGATAATGACTGGGGGAGAAGCCTTGTGTTGCTGTAGTTGCGGTGTAATCCCTCCGCGAGTTTCTCACTTGTACAACTCACGTCCGAGTCCAGCAGCGACAGTTTCACATCCTGAGGGTGTAACGCGGTGTAAACCTCCTCAAAGCGCGGTGAAACCAAGCGGGTACCAAAGGACATGGCTTCACTCTTCGTGTGTTTGCCCAGGACAGAACTGGGACAGTCACTGCCTGTGGGGAACGTTTCTGGATCTGCCCTGAGGGCTACAGACCCTCCCGAGAGGCAGGAGCTCCCCTCCAGCACCCTCTCACCGATGTGTGCCATGAAACCATCGCATTACGTTCCTCAAACGAGCACAACCAGGACTCGTTCCTGCCCTGGGCCACACGAACCAAGCGCCTCGCGTCCCAGCCAACTGTCCACATAACCTGAGGTCTGCCTGACAGCGCTCCGAGGAGCTCACGGAGCTCGCCGTGAGCTCACAGCACACAGACCGGGGGGGAAAAAAAAAAAAAAAAAAATCCACAGGACTCGAGCGATGGAGCTGGAGGAAGAGAAAACTTACCAACCGCGCCAGCCCATGAGACCCCATGTCCAGCCGGAGGAAACGCCTGCTAGCTGCCAGCTGGACCGCTCACACCAGCACGATTGGTAGGTTTGCTCAGAGGTGGCTCCTTCGCTTCTCACAAGAATTTATTTACTTTGGAAACTGTGCCATTATCTTCAACATTCTACAAGAGATATAAAGGGGAGAGATGTTGCGGGGTGTTTTGTTTTGTTTGGTTTTTTTGTTTGTTTTTTTTTTTTCCTTCCTAACCAGGACAAGACCATCTCCTCAGGGAGCTGCCAGACAGTCCTCTGCAGGATCTATGGCTTCCAGCTCGGCAGAAGAGCCCGGGACAGAGGCCAGCACTGATGAGAAGGCACCTGTCAGTCCTCACAACCAACACTCATCCTGCAGCTCGAGCAGCGCAGGCACTTCTACACAGCTACAAAATTCCCTTTCGGGGGGTCTGGAAAAGTTTGGTATATCTTAGATCACGATTTCAAGCCCTATCACCGCAATATCCTTGTTACCTTCTCACAGCCCCGCCCTGAGAGAGGAAATACCACATCAACATACAGACAGAGCACAAGCCACCAGTCCAGGTTATTCCAGTTGCAGCGGAGCCTCTGCTCCCCAAAATGCCCTTCCCCAGCTGCCTGATGGATCTTTGGGGGGGGGGGGGGGGGAACAGGGGGGTGAACATGATCCTAACTTTCAGCACTCAATTTAAGCCGATTAACACACCTGATCTGCGTTACAGCGGTTTTAATTAGCACCTTGAGCATGAAGGTGAATCAGAGTCCCCTAAAATCCATGGAAGACCTCAGCAACTGCGGAAACTGCTCAGGATTATGAAGCCAAGCACGGTCATAGGGGAAAAACAACACGCCGATGGTAGCAGCCCCATTTGTTTGTCATGGCCATAAGCAAGTATTCAAAGTTGGGCACAAAGGATCTCAAACACCTGTGTATTTACATATTAACAGCAGGAAATCAAGCAATGGCTTAGAATAAACTGGCCAGGATTTCTGTTGTTGTTGTTTTAACTCCTGGCCTGACTCTGCCACGCCTGTGACAGCGCAGGCGTTACAGCCACTTGCCAACATCAGTTTGTTTTCTCTTTCCTTGATGCTGGGGGGAACTTCCCCCGGCGCTTTGGCTGCGTTTAAGGAAGAGTAAGAGGAGAAGCAGCTAAAATAAAGCGAGCCGGGAGGGCCGTGCTGGCAAGGACGCACGGGCACGCTGCGGGAGGGCCGGCCTCGGGGAGGAGGGAGCAGCTCCTCGCTCTGCACATCCGAGGAAGGTTTTGGGAGCGAGCGGATGGTGGGGCACCCTTGAGCGGCAGCTCCCCCCAGAGCAACAACAGGCCCCCGGTGCGAACTTCCAGCGGCGTCGACCCGCAGCCTCCCCGGGCGGCCGAGAGCCTGTTGCACTGCACAGCCCCAGGGATAACTGCTTCAGTCCTCATCTCCCTGCTGCTCCCCCGGCCCTGAGGCTGCACCCCCAGCCCCGGGACGGCTCCCCCAGCCTTAAGGCTGGGCCCTCAGCCCCGAGGCTGCTCCCCCAACCCCAGGATGACACCCCCATCCCCGAGGCTGCTCCTCCAGCTCTGCCCCGCAGCCCTCCCCCCCCTGTACCGGCCGGTGCCCGAGGGGAACGACCCCAAATCCCTCTCCACATCCAAGGGGCCAGAACGGGACAGGGATGAAACGCCCTTCCCCCTACAGCCCCGCCCGCCCACCCCCCCCCCCCCCAGCAGCAACCTCCGGCCCCGTCCATCCCTCCCCTCCAAAGATGGAGCGGATTCCCACGCAGCCCCCCCTCCGCGCACCCCCACCCCGCGTGGGGCTCCTGCGGCCCAGGCACCCCAGCACGGACACCCCCATCCCCAAGGACCCCCGCAGCAGCCCGGGCAGCCCCCCCCCCCCCCCCCCCCCCCCCCTCCACTCGCCGCTGAACCGGGCGGCCCCGGGCGGGGGGGGTGCGGCGCGGGGAAAGGGACCCCCGGACCCACACTACCACGTACCGGGGCACCCCCCGACCACGGCCCAGCCCCCCTCGGGCCGCGGGGCCGCCCCGCCCGGCGGCGGCGGCGGTCCCCGGGGAGGCGGGCCGAGATGGCGAACCCGCCCCCGACCGGGCCCCGGCCCCGGAAGCGCCGCCCGCCCGGCTCATCGGGGAGGGCGGGCCGGGAAGGCCGCACGCCCCTTCCGGGCCCGGCGCTACGGCCGCTGCTCCCTGCCCGCTCCCCCCCCCCCCCCACCCGCTCCGCCGCGGGCCCGCACAAACCGGCCGGAGAGGTGGCGGCGGCGGCTCCGACTCCCTTCACGGCGCCATCTTCCTCCTCCGGGGCCGCCCGGGCACCGCCCTAGGTGATCCGCCCCCTCGGTGGCTTTTAGACCAATCCCCACCGGGTTTGCTGGCGCTCTGGCCAACGGACGGCGAGCTGCTTCACCGTTAGCCAATCCGCCGCGGCTTGCCGCTTGATAGGCAGCTCCGTCGAGCAATAGGACCCGTGATGGAGTGGCAGCTTCGCCAATGGGTGCGGATCTCTGAGGTGACAGACGGAAGCGGAGGCCCAATGGGAGGGTAGAGCTTTGATTGACAGCGCGGCTGACTAATGGGAGCAAGCTCAGCCTGTCAGCGTCCACTGATTGATTGACAAGCCTCCGAGGCGGAGTAGGCGGACTTCCTCGTGGGCGGGAGTCACCCGAAACCCGCCTCTCGGTTGGTCGCAGCCGCCTTGATTGACACGCAGAGAAGGCAATTGGGAGACGCGAGGCAGCCCCCAGCTCCGCTTTTGATTGGCTACGCCCCTTGGAGGGGGTCCGAAGCGTTGAAGCTTGGTGTCGGCCGCGGGGTCCCGGGGATGCTCGGGGGGGGGGGGGGGGCGACCCCCGCCGTAAGCCGCTGGGTGCCCCTGGGGGGGGCCGGGGGTGTCGCTGGTGCTGTGTGTGTCCCCCTCCTCCCCAATCCGGGGGGAGCAGGACCGAGACCCACCCCCCCCCCCCCCGCCACAAATGGGGAAACTGAGGCAATGGAGAGAGCCCTCGCCCCGCGGGCTGTGCTGGCGCCCATCACCGTCCCCTCGGGGCTCCCCAACACAGGCGGCGGGGGGAAAACCCCAGACACCCCCACCCACCGCGGGGCGTGGGGGGCCGCCAGTGGGGGTGAACATCGGGGGGGGGGGGGGGGGGCGTACCTCAAGTCCGGTGGCACCCACCCAGCCCCGCTTACCCCTGAAGGACCCCACCTCCCCCAGGGGTTGGGGGGTACCCGGGGGGGTTGGGGTGCCCTGTCTCCCTGCAGGGGTTGAGGTACCTGGAAGGGTTTGGGGGTGCCCAGAGGGAGTCGGGGTGCCCCGTCTTTCTCCGGGGATCAGGGTGCCCAGAGGGGTTGGGGCACCCCATCTTTCTCCGGGGATCAGGGTGCTCAGAGTGGGTCAGGGTGCCCCATCTTTCTCCGGGGATCAGGGTGCTCAGAGTGGGTCAGGGTGCCCCATCTTTCTCCAGGGGTCAGGGTGCTCCGAGGGGGTCGGGGCGCCCCATCTTTCTCCAGGGATCAGGGTGCTCCGAGGGGGTCAGGGTGCCCCATCTTTCTCCGGGGATCAGGGTGCCCAGAGGGGGTCAGGGTGCCCCATCTTTCTCCAGGGGTCAGGGTGCTCCGAGGGGGTCAGGGTGCCCCATCTTTCTCCGGGGATCAGGGTGCCCAGAGGGGGTCAGGGTGCCCCATCTTTCTCCGGGGATCAGGGTGCTCCGAGGGGGTCAGGGTGCCCCATCTTTCTCCGGGGGTCAGGGTGCTCCGAGGGGGTCGGGGCGCCCCATCTTTCTCCAGGGGTCAGGGTGCTCCGAGGGGGTCAGGGTGCCCCATCTTTCTCCGGAGATCAGGGTGCTCAGAGGGGGTCAGGGTGCTCAGAGGGGGTCAGGGTGCCCCATCTTTCTCCGGGGATCAGGGTGCTCCGAGGGGGTCAGGGTGCCCCATCTTTCTCCAGGGGTCAGGGTGCTCCGAGGGGGTCAGGGTGCCCCATCTTTCTCCGGAGATCAGGGTGCTCAGAGGGGGTCAGGGTGCTCAGAGGGGGTCAGGGTGCCCCATCTTTCTCCAGGGGTCAGGGTGCTTCAAGGGGGTCAGGGTGCCCCATCTTTCTCCAGGGGTCAGGGTGCTCCGAGGGGGTCAGGGTGCCCCATCTTTCTCTGGAGATCAGGGTGCCCAGAGGGGGTCGGGGCGCCCCATCTTTCTCTAGGGATCAGGGTGCTTAGAGGGGGTCAGGGTGCTCAGAGGGGGTCAGGGTGCCCCATCTTTCTCCAGGGGTCAGGGTGCTTAGAGGGGGTCGGGGTGCTCTGAGGGGGTCGGGGTGCTGGGGGTGGAGATGTCAGGCTGCTTGGAGGGATCCGGGGTGCAGAGGGGATGCCCGGCCAACTGTGACACCCCCCACCCCAAGCTCCTCCCCCCCTCCCAGCTCCACGACCACCCACCCCAGCGCAGCCGAGGGGTCCCCAGTGTCTCCTGCTCCCCCCCCCGACCCCCCCCATGCCAGGCCTGCCAGGGCCCCGGGGTGCCCAGCTGGCTCCAGCCCCCACGGGACCAGCACCTCCCACTGGAGCCAAATAATTGCTCGGTGCTTTGTTGTGCAGTGTCTATGGCCCCGGGGCCTTCATTTGTGGGAACTTGCTGTGGCGAGTGCCTCCCTTTTAATTACCTCCCCTCCTCATGCTCCTGCTTACTCACTGCCTGGCACCGGCGCCTCCGACCCCCACCTCGGCCCCTGGTGTCCCCCCCCCCCCCCCCATTTCTCCTTCTCCAACCCCCCCAGCCACGCGCGGGGGTCCCGGCGGCACGTCTCGGGGTGCCGCGTTCGGATGGACAGAGCAGCCGGTGGCCGTGGGGTGAAGGCGAGCGGGGACCTGGCCCCCAGTTGGGCAGGTGGAAGGGGAGGGTTGGGGCTGGGTGCCTGGCGGGGTCCCCTTGGGTGGGGGCCACCCACAGCCGCCCCCGGGGACCTGACTCTGGCCAAGCTCGTTAACGCTGCAGGAGCCACCGCGGCCACGGACGAGGCTCCCAAAGGGAGTGGGGCTGGGGGAGGGGGGGCCACGGGGACACGCACATGTAGGGACGTGGCTACGCCGCGCCGTGCTGCTTAACCCCGCACCCCATTTCTGACCCCGCACCCCAGGAGCGGGACCCTACAGCCCAGCGCTGCAGGGGGACGGACACTCTGGGGTCCCCATCCAGCGCCGGCCACCCTCTGAGGAGGGGACCCTGAGTGCAGGGGTCCCCGCGGGCTCGGCGCGGAACAGGCTGCACCCCAACCATGGCGGGGTGAGGGAGGGGAGCGGGGGTCCGGCCCCGCGGAGGGACCCCGGGGTGGTTGGCAAGAGGCAGCCGGTGCCCAAGGGCCACCGCCTGGCCGGGTGCCCGGGCGGCCTCGGCTCCGCTCCCGGCGCTCCCGCCCCGGCTGCCAGGGCAAGTCCCAGCCTGCCGCTCCCTGCCTCAGTTTCCCCAGGCGGGCAGTGACGCCGGCTCTCGGCTGCGAGCCCGGCGCGGACGCGAGCGCGGGCACGATCGCTGTCATCGTCCCTGGGAAAGGGCCGTCACCACGGCTCCGACTGTGCCACCTCCGAGCAGCGGGGTGGGGACGGGGACATGGGCTTGTGCAGCGAGACAGGGGAGGGGGACACAGGTTGGCAGAGCGAGGCTGGGACGGGGACACGGGGACAAGGGTCTGTGCAGCGAGGCAGGGGATGGGGACTTGGGTTGGCACAGCATGGCTGGGATGGGGACATGGGGACAAAGGGACGTGGGGACAAAGGGACATGGGGACAAAGGGATATAGGGACGGAAGGACATGGGGACAGAGGTCCATGCAGTGAGGTTGGGGCAGAGGCGCAGGTGTCCACATAGGGGCAGGGGACAGGGACGCCCAGGTTGGCACAGCAAGGCTGGGACGGGGACATGGGGATATGGGACACGGGGACACAGGGCCGTGGGGACACAGGGGCGTGGGGACATGGGGACACAGGGGTGTGTGGGGACAT